AAGGTTAGCCCACAGTCAATAGTTCCTTTATCCTTTTTTTTTTTTCTCTCGCTGATCTCTAAGCAGAGGAATAGCACTCTATGTCAGAAGCATACCGATTTCTTCCTCTGATTTACTCTTTTCCCAGATTTCTTCTCTTCGCCAATTTTCAGTGAACATAGGTTCATCGGCATGCAAGTTATAATCTTATAATCAATCACCAAAGGAGAGGTAACAAAAAATAAAAAATAAAACAAAGGACCCAAGAGACCGATGCAAATTTACTTCTTTCTCCTGCTGCAATTAATATTTGTTGTCATTGAGTGCTGCGTGTTAATCCACTTCGAGACACATTTCTGCATAAATTTGACAACTTGTCAGCTAAACCAATATATCATTACATCACTATTCAGAATATAATACCTTCTAACTACGTAGTCAATGAAAACTAAACTGGCATGGTGACATTTATCTATTACAGGCCTCAACTCTGGGACAAGCAAGTCATCCAAAATCAATTAGGCAGAAAATCAACAAGAATTAACAAGTGAATCCATTTGAACTGATCAATAAAACTTTAAGTACCAAATTAAAATGAACCCTAACAGATACATGTCACAGATTGAAAAGTACATGGGTGGTCTTCAAATACCTTATCCAAAAGAGTAAGAAACAATCCCCAGTACTATCTCTATAATCTCTTGCAAAGCACATTTTCACATACATCAAACTGCAGTGACGACAGAGGAGACAGGCAAACCAACAACTAAATCAAATTATACTTCTGACTAGAACGATTACGTGTGTTTCCATTTACTTGCCATATGTTCTACTACAAGAGCATAATCTTGTAGCTCAGAAATTATTTGCATTTACTTGCTATACATACGTACATACATACATACATTCATACATATATATATATACACATATATGTATATATAAATCATGGAGATTTCCGAAAAATTATCATGTAGCAGGACTTCATGTTAATTTCATAGAATTATGTGATTCTTTCTTCTATTCTGGGAATATTCTATATAAAATTTAACAAGTATTTATGAGTGAATTTCAGCAATTATTTTTACTAGATGATCAGAAAATATGGATTATAAGTTTATAACACATATTAAGCGTTTCTTTAAGGGTTGTTAAATATGCAATTTTACAAACCTATAAATTCCCTAATAAAAGGGGCCCACCATGTACACATGGTTGTCCAGTGCCAAAGCAAATGCCTATATTACTAAATTTTGCTGAATGTCAACAAAACCTGTGAACCATTAGGATGTTGAGGGTTTTGCAAGATAATCAATCTTACATCTACTCAGATAATTCCCTAGCACCCTGCAGCTCCCTTCCACACAAATACCGAAAAACCCAAATTTCTTTGCTTCTGTTGACTTAATCTAATTGACTTTCGTCTTCTTTGCCATCTTTGCCTCTAGGTTTAAAGAAGTAGACAAAATAATAGAGAAAAAGCCAAGTTCATCAAATGACTCTCATGTAAGTGAATTCCAGACTTGGGCATCGGAATAAATATTGCAGAGAAGTCAAAGAACTAAGATGAGGCTAGCTTGAGGTAAATTTTGATTTTTGAGGTACGAAAATATTTCAAAAAAGCTCAATCAAGCATGTAGAGATGCTCCATACTTTTTTCAAAAAGGAAAAAAGGGATTAATTTAATCAGGAGGATGACAGTCTATGCTACCACTTCACTTGAGCCTAAGCAAGCAACAGAATACGTACAGACCAACAAGCTTAGAAGGCCACTATTATGTATAAAGACAGAGGCTTCATATATGGGATAGTGTTTTGTCCATTAGAAACCTAAGTGAGTTTATCACGTGTAAATTCAAACTTAGCACAAACTAAGACAAAAACATCAAATAAGAATGAACTTTAAAAATTCAAAGGAAAAGGAAAATGCAAATATATGAAGGGAGAACAGACAGATGACACCATGGCTGCTAACCCCACAATTTATAAAGAACAAATGCAATAAATTAATAGTGAGACTAATGTTAGCCTAAAGCAATGTAGGAAAATGAGGAATATTAAAATAATAAAAGCACCTTCCAGTAAGCAGCTGAGCAGCAGATCCTTTGGAGTTACCATACCGCTTGGCCCTATTCTCATGTTCTTTCTCCACACGCATGGCAGCAACCTCTTTCTCCATTGCAGCCACTTCTCTTCTCATCTTTTTAGCCTCAACTTCCATTGCCTTTGTCAATGTTTCTACCTTCTTAGCAAGCATCTGAAAAATACAAGGATTACTAGAGCATTTATCCAGAAAGATAAATCAAAATGGTATTACATTGAAAGAACACAAGCACCAACCTCAATCGCATCATCCTTATCCTTAAGGCTTTGATCTTTCTCATGACCAGCTTTCCTCAAAGCTATGACCTGTTTCTGCAGTAAATCATACAATACTCCCGGGACATTATCCTCTGTATCTACTGGCTGGAAATCATTTGGTTTTTCATTATTTGGTGCCTCACCCTCCTTGGTTCCCTCAGAAGGCTGGTTGAACGAAATATTTGAGCCTGTTCCATTTAAAAGCACTTTCGCCCTGTCCAATGATCTTGTGCCCCCATCAAATGACTTGGATGTTCCTTTAGCATGCTTCAACACTGTACTAGATGACAACGAGGATCTCAATTGAGAGCTTGGCGATCTCTTGGATAGAAACCCATTGGATGTAAGTTTTGAGAAGTTATCAGCTCCACCCAGAGACTGACGCCTAGAAGGCCCATTGCTCATGCTTCTTCCATCTGATGTACTGCGGCTAATACTATTAGAAGATCCTCTCACGCTTTCTTCCAGAACTTTAAGCCGCAAAAGATATTTCTCCTGCCAAATCAAAACAAAAGCTCTAATTTCCAAACCAGCACTATCAACAAAAAGAACAGAAAGGTAATTGTCACAATTAGATTATTACTTTCAACTGTGCTTCAGATTTTGCAGCCCGCTCAGTTATAGCAAGCTTATCACGAAGTTGCTGCATTTCTCCCTGTAAGAAATAAACTCCACAATGAATAAAAAATAACAAATTTAAGTGCCTATTGTTTTTTTCAAGGGGAAAAACCATCCACAATAACCTGCAAGAATCTCCGCTCTTCAAGCCATTGTTTTACAGGCATCACTTTGTCATTAGCATCTTTCCACTCATTTGCGACAACCGTGGCCACTCTATTAGCAGTTACTTTTGCACGTGCCAGCTCTCGGTCAAGAGTTTTTCTTTCCTCCTAAGGAACACAGAAACAATCATTCATTTTGACAACAGCTTTGAGACTATGTGCACCAAAAAAAAATCTGCCAAACTTGGATACTTAAATGCTCGGCGCATTACATTCATCTCCTGAACTTTCCGCTGGTAATCCCTAACTGCATTTGCAGCAGCACCACCAGCAAGAACAGCCTCTTCCAGCTCCCTTACTGTTTGTGTAAGCTTTTCAACCTCTGCAACCTTTTGGCGATGCATTTTGTCCAAAATTTTGTTTTCTTCCTACCATGGGCAAGTCATAGACATGTGACTTTCTTCATTATATAGACTAAGAACAAAATATATGCTCCAACTCCTGATGCACCTTACAAAAGAAAACACAAAGAATGATTGGAGTACCTGGCAAATTTCTATCTGTTTCATCAACTCCTGGTTTTTATTTTGGAGATCATCCACCATGGAGGCTTTGGCCAATGCAACCTGTACAGTCCTTTCAGCTTCAAGTAAAGCTGCTTCTTTGGATTTAGTGAGACGATCAAGGGCTTTGTTATCATCTTGAAGCTTTGCAATCTGCAAAGAACCAAAAGAAATAATCAGTAAGAAAATAATCAATCACATATAAGTGCATAAAACATTCTCTAATTCTCTATGTGAGACAGAAGCAATAGTTCAATAGACACAAGAAATACCTCTTGCCGAGCAAGCTTCAGCTCAGCCTCCAAAGGTGCAAGAATTGCTTCAATTGGAGGCATATCATCATCCTTTTGAGCAGCATGAACCCTTCGCAGAGTGGCCTCAGCTGCAAACTGAGCAGCCATCGATGCCTTCTTCTCATCATTTATTTTCTTGATTTCAAGGTTCTGCAAAACATGTTTATTAACTAAATATAACAACACAACAGCAGAAAATAAAAAACAAAGTTTGAAGAGAATTTTACAGCAATACCTTGCTTTCAAGAAGAGATTCTGTCAATTTAAGCTTCTCCTCCATTTTTGAAAGCTCATCAGTGAGCTATGGTACAAAAGAAAAACAAAAAGCAAAGTAAGTATCCATTTTAATCACAAAAAATGTTATAAGGATGCCAAGTCAGATGACCAACACAAAACAACACTTCAATTGTGTCCAATACTGCAAAAGGTCATAAGCTTATATTTTTCTTCAATTACTACAAAAAAGTCTAGCTTTACAGTCTTTGATGCAAGAGCATTGGCCAGTGTGTACAAGAGCTGTAAATTACATAAAGATCATCAGTTTTTTGTGAACAAGACTAGGGATCATTCACAATATGCAGTAACAGTAAGTCATGAAATATAAGGACAATTAACCATCTGAATCCCTAAACATCAAAACAATCCATTCAATCATGAGATCAAATACCACCCTAAACCTCATAAGATAATTATATATAGGACGAGAAAATATAGATGGAAGAAGAACATTTAATCTAATAGGAAAACTATGACATAAGTTCTAGATTACAGGTAGACATGAAATCTTGATCTTGTGACAGCTTTAAACATGACGAGCCAACAACATTAACAGACAGTACCAAAGCAACTGAAAGATAACAATGAAATTAATTTTTCATAAT